CGGGGCTAGTACCTTCTAAGATAAGATTAATTTTGGCTAATGAATACCTTCTAAGAATATAGGGGGCGGGTGGGCGGGACTAGTACTTGCTAAGGTAAGACTGATTGTTCTGGGTGTTCCATGTCCAAAATCGATCTTATTTTAGCAGCTACTAACCCCGCCCTCCCGCCCTCTCTTTTCTTAGAAACTATCTCATTAGCCAAAATCACTCTTATCGTAGCAGGTATTAGCCCCGCCCACCCACCCTCTCTTTTCTTAGAGGGTATATCATTTGCCAAAATCACTCTTATCGTGGCAGATACTAGCCCCGCCCACCCACCCCCTCTTTCTTATAGGGTATGTCATTTGCCAAAATCTTTTTCCCGAAAAACTGAAGAAATGAAAAACTAAAAAATTGAAAATTTGTGAAATTTTAAATCTAAAAATTGAAACGTCCAAAAGTTGGAAAGTCGGAAAACTGGAAAATTTAAAAATGAAAACTCGAGAAGATATCGTAAAACTAAAAAAAAAAAAACGAAAAAATGCAAATTGAAAAACTGACGAAACGAGAAATAAAAAAAAGTGAAACTGAAAAAACAAAAAAATATAAAATCGGAACATTGAAAAATTGAAAATTTGTAAAAATAAAGAAAATAAAAATCAAATCGAAAAATTGCAAAATCTAGAAAATGAATTAAAAACTTGAAAAATTAAATTTAAACTTAAGTAGTGGTGGGTGGGGCGCGGTCTAATATTTGATAAGATAAGACTGAATTTTGACAAATGACATATCCTTTAAGAAAATAAAGTGTGGGTGGGCGGGGCTAGTATTTGATAAGATAAGACGGATTTTGGCACACGACATAGCCGCTAAGAAAATAGAGGGCGGGTGGGGGCGCACTCTAGTATTTGATAAGAGAAGACTGAATTTTGACAAATGACATACCCTTTAAGAAAATAAAGGGTGGGTGGGCGGGGCGAGTAGTTGATAAGATAAGACGGATTTTGGCACACCACATAGCCGCTAAGAAAATAGAGGGCGGGCTAGTATTTGATAAGATAAGCCTAAATTTTGACACATCACATAGCCCCTAAGAAAATAGAGGGTGGGTGGGTGGGGCTAGTAGTTGATAAGATAAGACTCAGTTTGACACATCACATAGCCGCTAACACAATAGAGGGCGGGTGGGGGGCAGGTTGGTATTTGATAAGATAAGACTAAATTTTGCCAAAATCAGTCTTATCTTACCCAGTACTAGCCCCACCCACCCACCCACCCTGTCTTTTCTTAGAGGATATGTCATTGGCCAAAATCAGTCTTATCTTACCAAGTACTAGCCCCGCCCACCCGCCCCCTGTTTTCTCAAAAGATAAGAAAAAATGAAGGAACAAGAAAACGGGATTTATTTGGCTGCACTCCAGGAGCTAGGGAAGTTCTATTGAAATAACTAAGGAAGTATTGTAATCGAGTCCGTCGGCCGACTCTCTACTTTTACGTTTTCTCGATCTTTCATGACCCCTAGAAGACGAAGAAATAGGTCTCCCATTTCCGTCTGTCTGTCCGTCGGTCCGTCGGTCCGTCCGTCTGTCCGTCCGTCTGTCCGTCTGTCCGTCTGTCCGTCTGCCGTCCCGGATTTTTATTAGACAGATAATCTCCGAAAGTACTCGACCGATTCTTGTGAAATTTTGTACTTATATTAAGAATATCATGTAGATGGTAAAACGCTAACCAAAATTTGTCTAATCATCCCCACCACTAATGCGATGACGTCACTTCAAAATTGTACATAGTAAATGGGTTTTCAATTGTATAAAATAACATAGTCCTACACATGTGGTTTACAACTCCGAATCGACTTTTCACCCGAAACGTCCAGATTTTTGGAAAAAAAATCAAAATTATAAAACAACATTTTGAAATTTGATTTTTAATCTGCTAACCAGAATGCTTTGAAATATTGCAGATGTTTTAAGGCTATAAAGAGCATCATAAATCTTTAGTCAAAAAATATTTGCTTATCCCCTCCAGAAACTTGATGACGTCAGCTCAAAAGTTTGTGGAATAAATCATATCTAAAATGCACAAAATATGATTAGTCTGTACTTGTGATCTATCACTCCATTCATATTTTTTGGATTTGCATATACAGGGTGACTCAAAAAAATTAATGAATGCGTAAATTTATTTTACTGATTTACTCAGAAACTACAAAACCGAATGCTTTGAAATCTTGCAGATGTTTTAAGGTTATAAAGAGCATAATGAATGTTAAGTCAAAATATATTTGCTTATCCCCTCCAAAAAATTGATGACGTCAGCTCGAAAGTTTGCCGAATAAATCCTATCTAAACTGTAAAAATATGATGAGTCTGTACTTGTAATTTATCACTCCATTCATATTTTTTGGATTTGTATATACAGGGTGACTCAAAAAAATTAATGAATGCGTAAATATATTTTATTGATTTAATCCGAATGCTCTGAAATCTTGCAGATGTTTTAAGGTCATAAAGAGCATAATAAATGTTTAGTCAAAATATATTTGCTTATCCCCTCCAAAAACTTGATGACGTCAGCTCGAAAGTTTGCCGAATAAATCATATCTAAAATGTACAAAATATGATCAGTCTGTACTTGTGATCTATCACTCCATTCATATTTTTTGGATCTGCATATACGTAGTGATTCAAAAAAATTAATGAAAGCGTAAATTTATTTTACTGATTTACTCAGAAACTACAAAACCGAATGCTTTGAAATCTTGCAGATGTTTTAAGGTTATAAAGAGCATAATAAATGTTTAGTCAAAATATATTTGCTTATCCCCTCGAAAAAATTGATGACGTCAGCTCGAAAGTTTGCCGAATAAATCCCATCTAAACTGTAAAAATATGATGAGTCTGTACTGGTAATTTATCACTCCATTCATATTTTTTGGATTTGCATATACAGGGTGACTCAAAAAAATTAATGAATGCGTAAATTTATTTTTTTGATTTAATCATGAACTGCAAAACCGAATGCTTTGAAATCTTGCAGATGTTTTAAGGTTATAAAGAGCATAATAAATGCTTAGTCAAAATACATTTGCTTATCCCCTCCAAAAAATTGATGACGTCAGCTCGAAAGTTTGCCGAATAAATCCTATCTAAACTGTACAAAATATGATGAGTCTGTACTTGTGATTTATCACTCCATTGATTTTTTTTTGGATTTGCATATACAGGGTGACTCAAAAAAATTAATGAATGCGTAAATTTATTTTATTGATTTACTCAGGAACTACAAAACCGAATTCTTTGAAATCCACTGCGAAAAAAAAACATAATAGGCATGCAGTCGTCACGTTTCCGACAGCGAGGGAAGTACTGTCTAAACTCTTTAGACCAATTTTTTTATTGTTGTTATGGGTTTTTGCAAACATTTTTAAAATTACCTTTCCGTTTCAATCTGCAAAACACTACACGGAATTCCATTTGACGTTGATTTAACCCTCGGATGCCCAAGCTATTTTTTTTTACATAGACACCCAAGCTGGGTCAAATTTGACCCACCCTAATTTTGCTTTAGATTTTATTATTTCAAGTTCCAATTGCCAATTTATTGTGTATTAATGAAAAAAAGGTCACAAAACAAAAGTTTTTGTCATTAATATCAATAAAAGAAATATTTGTTTATAAAAAACAACAGTTAGGGTTTAAGACAACACACCAATTAAACACTTAAAATTCGATAGTTTTATTGTGTACAGTTTTGGTAGATTTTTAACACATCTATTGTTACTTGTGTCTTGCAACAAAAAATGCCGCATTGTCGACATTTGTCAGAATATTTGTTAACATTACGGATATAAAGCCCATATTTTTCTCTTTTTTCGTTTCTGGATTCCCCATACTTTTAATTATTTTGGTATCAACTACAGTGCCAATTACCATTTATAAACCTTAAGGAACACAATTAAATCCGTTATCCACCCGTCTCTGAATGTGAGGCTGCACTAGTTGAAGATCGAGCTCTTTGAGAAATTATCGTCTTCTTCAAGAAACACTTGGTCTGTAAACTGAGTTTTACATTTTATATATATATGATGTATGCATTAATGGCCGCAAGGTTTAGGAAATTCATAAACTAAACAAAAGGCCATCTTTTTGTTTATCTATTACATGCCTACTCATTTAACAGCTTGTTAAAACATCTATTAGTTGAAGACCCAAAGTCGGTCAAAATTGACCCACTGCAACAAATATGTGATAACTATCATGTAACTAAAATCAAGTGGCGGAAAATATTCACATATTGTTGACAATACCAAAACAGGCAAAAAATAAAATCCAGGAGAAAAAATTTAAGAGATTGAAGAAAAGAGTCGCAAAAAAGTGGTTCGTGGGTCAAATTTGACCCAGGCTTGGGCATCCGAGGGTTAAATAACCATATTTTAAATAATCTTAAAATGCTGGTTAACAAGATTAACATATAATCACGAGAATTAGACGAAAATGAAAGCAACCTATTGCATATTTTTTTACCAGAGAAGTACTGATTAAAGACTTCATTGAGATTATTAAAATCGTCATTTCGGCAAGTAAGACTGAAAATTATATGTATACTGTATGTAATATGTAATCGACGGAGTATTAATTTTTAAAGATAACAAAACAGCAAAATTTGGATCTACACAAAAGTACCATACAATCGATAACTTGACCATTGTTTTACCCAGAAAAAAGAGTACCACGAAAAAACACGTGTCAAATATGTCACTACAAATTTTATAAATCACGTAGCACAAGATGTTCTCCAGTTTTTTTTTATTTTAATTTATAAGAATACTCTGTAAATTTTTAATTACAACCACAGTTACTCCGCTTTGCGGTACCTCCACAATAAACCCAACGCCCCACTGACCCTCCCTTCATGTCAACCCGCCACACAATGTGCTCACCCATCAAATCCCGGCTCGCGAGCACTTGATTGACGCCCGTGCCACCAGACCATATCCGAGTTCATAAATAAGCCCACCGAAAGCAAGCAATCTTTATTTTTCTCATAAACAACACACTCAGTCAATGCATAAATAAAGTGTTATCTCTATAAAACATAATATAAATTTAAAATACAAATAATACAAGAATGGCGCATCCACACCACCACTGCGAAATCATCGAGACGCACGCGGGTCCTCCGGCCATGCCGCACTTCTTCCTCATGCCCCTGGTGTTCCTGGGTAGTGCCGTGGTGTTCTCAGTGATAATCGTGGGGCTGCTGGTGGTGCTGGCGCGGGTGCGGCTGACGCCGGTGGTGCTCGCCCGAGAACATTTCGACGAGTCCGCCGCGGAGAATACTGTCGCAAGAGCTATAAACTATTTCACGCAGCTTAACCGTCGGGTAGGTTAAGCTTTCAATTTTTGTAGAGTATAAGGTAATTTCTGTACAAACTGTTTTAAATCTAAGTAATAAAATATTTAAGGGTAATTATAATATTCTGTAAATTACAACGGAGGGCGAGTTACGTCCTGAAGGCGGGGCGTTTCTTCAGCGGCTCGGGCCTGCCCACAGGCCTGTTGTCGCCACCTGCAACAGTGTCAACGAGGTTTAGTTTTAATTTTAATTCATAATGTGTAATTTAGTTGTTAATAAAGCAGTAGTTTAGATTACCATGAGTGTGAAACTGAGTTGATTTAACAATAAAAATTGGCAACTAAAAAGTAAAACGAGTAGCGAACGTCATTGCTTAAACCTTTCCAACAAAATTGGCTATTATGTTCCTAGATAACACAAAATTATGAAAGTAATGAAATTTTATAAAATTAGAAAAAAATGATGTATTTACATAATCGAAATAACAAAGTGTAAAAATACAAGCATAAAAAGAAAAATAAACTAACGGAACATGGAAAATTCATTAAAATTTCAATAACTTCAGAAATCTTGTGCTTGTAATTAGGTACTATAGACAAAAATTGGATTTTGTATTAAGTGTGAAAATACTTACCGACTGATAACTCGGATAGGTCAACGCACCGCGATCTTGAAGATAAATTAAACGAAAGAGAGGAGCAGAAACTGAAGGTAACAAAATACCCAGACAAATATCACACTGAAATTTTTTACTTAAAAATTGGAATTTTTGCTTTTCTAAAGTAAATATGGAATCAACCAACATTTTTCGCTGTTTGAAATTTTTTTGCGACCTTGTTTTCTGAAAACCATTATAGAGACAAAACTAGTGGCGTAAATTTTCGCAGTTTTTTTTTAACTTTTTTCAATTTTTAAATTTTGCAAATTTTCGATTTGAGTTTCTCGAGTTTTCAATCTTTGGCTTTCCCAATTCTTAGATTTTTGAATTTTGCTACTTTTTTTATTGGATTTTAAAACTTTTTCGTTTATTCGAGTTTGCAATTGTTGGATTCTTAGATTTTTTTTTTCAAATTTCCGATTTTCCCATGTTCCACTTTTGTAATTTTTTATTTTTCATTTCCAATATTTCAATTTTTCGATTTACAATTTTTCAATTTTGAGATATGTAATTCTTCCAATTTCCATTTTTAATTTTTTTTTCGATTATCCAACTTTTAGAATGTTTCAATTTTAAGATTTTGTAATTTTTCGATTTGAGTTCATCCAGTTTTCAATTATTACATATTTTCTTTATTTATTTAATTTTTCGGTTTTTCAATGTCCTGATTTAATTTTTTTTTAATGTAAAATTTTTCAATTTTTTGATTTTTCAATTCTTCAATTTTCTTATTTTCCTACTTTTTTTATTTGATTCTAAAACTTTTTCAAATTTTCGACTTTTCAATGATCTGATTTTATAATTTTGTGTTTTTCATTTTCAATTTCATTTCTTCAGTTTTTCGATTTTTCAATTTTTAATTTAATTTTACGATATATCTTCCAGTTTTCATTTTCAAATTTTTTAGTTTTTCGATTTTCCAACTTTTAGATGTTTCAATTTTTAGATTTTGTAATTTTTCGACGTGAATTGCTCGAGCTTTTAATGTTTGTTTTTTTTTATTTATTCGATTTATCGATTCTTCAATGTTCTGATTTCATAATTTTTCTTTTTTCGAAGTGAAATTTTTCACATTTTTTGGATTTTTCAATTCCCCGATTTTTGAATTTTCCTACTTTTTTTAATTGGATTCTAAAACTTTTTCATTTATTTCTTCAGTTTTCAATTTTTAATTCAATTTTGCGATATATGTCTTCCAGTTTTCATTTTGAAATTTTTTAGTTTTTCGATTTTCCAACTTTTAGATGTTTCAATTTTTAGATTTTGTAATTTTTCGATGTGAATTTCTCGAGTTTTCAATGCTTGTTTTTTTTATTTATTCAATTTATCGGTTCTTCAATGTTCTGATTTCATAACTTTTCTTTTGTCGAAGTGAAATTTTTCACATTTTTGGATTTTTCAATTCCCCGATTTTTGAATTTTCCTACTTTTTTTAATTGGATTCTAAAACTTTTTCATTTATTTCTTCAGTTTTCAATTTTTAATTCAATTTTGCGATATATGTCTTCCAGTTTTCATTTTCAAATTTTTTAGTGTTCCGATTTTCCAACTTTTAGATTTTTCAATTTTTTGATTTTGTAATTTTTCGATGTGAATTTCTCGAGTTTTCAATGTTTTTTTTTTATTTATTCAATTTATCGGTTCTTCAATGTTCTGATTTCATAATTTTTCTTTTTTCGAAGTGAAATTTTTCACATTTTTTTGGATTTTTCAATTCCCCGATTTTTAAATTTTCCTACTTTTTTTTATTGGATTCTAAAACTTTTTCATTTATTTCTTCAGTTTTCAATTTTTAATTCAATTTTGCGATATATGTCTTCCAGTTTTCATTTTGAAATTTTTTAGTTTTTCGATTTTCCAACTTTTAGATGTTTCAATTTTTAGATTTTTTAATTTTTCGATGTGAATTTCTCGAGTTTTCAATGCTTGTTTTTTTTTATTTATTCAATTTATCGGTTCTTCAATGTTCTGATTTCATAATTTTTCTTTTGTCGAAGTGAAATTTTTCACATTTTTGGATTTTTCAATTCCCCCCTTTTTGAATTTTCCTACTTTTTTTTATTGGATTCTAAAACTTTTTCATTTATTTCTTCAGTTTTCAATTTTTAATTCAATTTTGCGATATATGTCTTCCAGTTTTCATTTTGAAATTTTTTAGTTTTTCGATTTTCCAACTTTTAGATGTTTCAATTTTTAGATTTTTTAATTTTTCGATGTGAATTTCTCGAGTTTTCAATGCTTGTTTTTTTTTATTTATTCAATTTATCGGTTCTTCAATGTTCTGATTTCATAATTTTTCTTTTGTCGAAGTGAAATTTTTCACATTTTTGGATTTTTCAATTCCCCCCTTTTTGAATTTTCCTACTTTTTTTTATTGGATTCTAAAACTTTTTCATTTATTTCTTCAGTTTTCAATTTTTAATTCAATTTTGCGATATATGTCTTCCAGTTTTCATTTTGAAATTTTTTAGTTTTTCGATTTTCCAACTTTTAGATGTTTCAATTTTTAGATTTTGTAATTTTTCGATGTGAATTTCTCGAGTTTTCAATGCTTGTTTTTTTTATTTATTCAATTTATCGGTTCTTCAATGTTCTGATTTCATAACTTTTCTTTTGTCGAAGTGAAATTTTTCACATTTTTGGATTTTTCAATTCCCCGATTTTTGAATTTTCCTACTTTTTTTAATTGGATTCTAAAACTTTTTCATTTATTTCTTCAGTTTTCAATTTTTAATTCAATTTTGCGATATATGTCTTCCAGTTTTCATTTTCAAATTTTTTAGTGTTCCGATTTTCCAACTTTTAGATTTTTCAATTTTTTGATTTTGTAATTTTTCGATGTGAATTTCTCGAGTTTTCAATGTTTTTTTTTTATTTATTCAATTTATCGGTTCTTCAATGTTCTGATTTCATAATTTTTCTTTTTTCGAAGTGAAATTTTTCACATTTTTTTGGATTTTTCAATTCCCCGATTTTTAAATTTTCCTACTTTTTTTTATTGGATTCTAAAACTTTTTCATTTATTTCTTCAGTTTTCAATTTTTAATTCAATTTTGCGATATATGTCTTCCAGTTTTCATTTTGAAATTTTTTAGTTTTTCGATTTTCCAACTTTTAGATGTTTCAATTTTTAGATTTTTTAATTTTTCGATGTGAATTTCTCGAGTTTTCAATGCTTGTTTTTTTTTATTTATTCAATTTATCGGTTCTTCAATGTTCTGATTTCATAATTTTTCTTTTGTCGAAGTGAAATTTTTCACATTTTTGAATTTTTCAATTCCCCCCTTTTTGAATTTTCCTACTTTTTTTTATTGGATTCTAAAACTTTTTCATTTATTTCTTCAGTTTTCAATTTTTAATTCAATTTTGCGATATATGTCTTCCAGTTTTCATTTTGAAATTTTTTAGTTTTTCGATTTTCCAACTTTTAGATGTTTCAATTTTTAGATTTTGTAATTTTTCGATGTGAATTTCTCGAGTTTTCAATGCTTGTTTTTTTTTTATTTATTCAATTTATCGGTTCTTCAATGTTCTGATTTCATAATTTTTCTTTTTTCGAAGTGAAATTTTTAACATTTTTTGGATTTTTCAATTCCCCGATTTTTGAATTTTCCTACTTTTTTTTATTGGATTCTAAAACTTTTTCATTTATTTCTTCAGTTTTCATTTTAAAATTTTTCAGTTTTTCGATTTTACAACTTTCAGTAGATGTTTCAATTTTTAGATTCTGTAATTTTTCAATTGGAGTTTCTCGAGTTTTCAATTTTTTATTTTCTTTATTTATTCATTCAATTTTTTGTTTTTTCAATGTCCTGATTTCATTATTTTTCTTTTTTTCAATGTGAAAATGTTCAATTTTTGGATTTTTCAATTCTTAGATTATTTAATTTCAATACATATATTTTTTATTAATTGGTATTCATTTATTCGATTTTTCAATCTTCCGATTTTATTTTTTTTTCATTTTCACTATTTCTTTCTTCAATTTTTCGATTTAGAATTTTTCAGTTCTTCAGTTCAATTTTAGGATATGTAACATTTATAGTTTAAATTAAATTATATTAATTTAGATGTTTCAATTTTTCGATTTGGGTTTCTCGAGTTTTCAATTTTTCATTTTCTTTATTCAATCTTTCGTTTTTTCAATATCCCGATTTAATAATTTTTCTTTTTTTCAATGTGAATATTTTCAATTTTTGGATTTTAATTCAATTTTTTAATCTTCCGACTTTTTTTTATTGGATTATAAAACTTTTTCTTTTATTCGATTTTTCAATTTTTCGATTCTTCAATTTCTAATTTCTTTAAATTTTCGATAATCCAATGTTCTGATTTCATAATTTTCCTTTTTTTCGATGTGAAATTTTTCGCATTTTTGGATTTTTCAATTTCCCGATTTTTGAATTTTCCTACTTTTTATTAGATTTTTATTTATTCGAATTTTCAATTTTTCGATTTTAAATGTCTCAATTTTTCGATTCTTCTATTTCTAATTTCACTAAATTTTCTATAATCCAATGTTTCATTTTTTCAATTTTCCGATTTAGAATTTTTC